GCTTAGGGTTAAGCATTTATACTGTGTGTCGTGCACATTTTAACCATCTTATCTCATTCTTCAGTCACATTTTGCAGGATTATTTTCCTGGCAACAGTACCTGACACCTATCTTATTGAAGCCTTGCTTCGTAACAATGGGCCTTTATAGTCGCTCTTCCATACTCAACTTTATAAGCCACCAAACCATCGTCTCCTTGGAACTAAGAGGAATAATAGGCAGCTGAATGAGTTAAAATTAGTTCCATATACCCAACATCCTTGTCAATGTATAAGAACTATAAGGTAAGATCGAACGCGTTAGAACTGTTGAAAGTAAAAATGTATCATCACAGCATTAAACATTGCATTTCTTTTAATTTACCTTGAAGCGCCTTACCCGAGTGACCGTAGATCAGCGGGAACTAGCACTGACGGCATTCATTGCGAACGATTTGCTTGAGTTAACGCTCTACTCTGAAGTTAGTCCTACAAACGACACTGTGCTGGGTATCTGTGTCGGTTCTGCCTCGCCCAAGGTTGTTGATGCGATTGCCCGCCTGGTGAATGCCTTGGCCTCGTTGGCCCGGGGTCGGGCCTACTTATCACAGAACAGCGCCGCTGTTACACTCCTGACGCGACGAATATTCCAGGAGAAGGAGGAGTCTGCAGTCAGAGAAAACATGATAGGGGCCCTTCAAAAGCTCAGCCTTCGGTAAGATTCTAGGTTTTTGATCTGACGAAATTTCATGGGATCTCTTCATGTCTGGAGTATTCCAGTGATGATAGAGATACATACATACGTATATCGAAGTTTGCGAAAGATTGGTAATCACTCGCAAACCGACATTAACGCATCTGCGAAATATTAGAAGTAATAGTGTTCAAACTTAGGTGAATTTGCTACTAAAGATGAATATTAAAAGTATTGACTGTTTGTTAGGAAAAATAAAATTTTCCCAATAATACTCAAGGTCCGCAGACGTTAAAAATAGCTTTAAAATAGACCGATATATTCAAATCTTATCGTCAGTTTAGCTGACACCCATACCTCTTTCTTTATATCTAAATAACGTTTCTTTTTTCAAAATACTTTATACATATTTCCCTTACTGGATTACTATTATTTTAAAATCGTGCTTTAAATTCCGGCACTTTTCGAGCTTCTTCAGTATTTTCAAGCCTTCGTCCATAAATCCAGATTCTTTTTGAGGTTTATGTCTGAAATTCAAATAAGCATTTTTCTTGCACTTACTGCATTTTTTGACAAAAAC